AGTTGCTGAGTAGTAGGACGTAAGGCAATCGAAAGTCTCTCAACCACACTAATACCTACTATGATCCTATTTACTATCCCACAATCCTGACCCATTGGCTTACCTATTAGATAGGGTAACAAGATGAAATGAATAGGATGTAGTTTCCATATTGCCTATGCGGAAAGGTGGTTGTATAGGCAACCAGGTTTTAATTCCATCCACTATGTTTTCCTTTTAGTAATGGTTAATAAAATTTTATTCCATCCGCTCATTGGTGCAATTTTAATTCTATCCACTCATAGTTTATTAGGTTATAACTCATAAGATATCTATTCACAATGAAGATGCACAGGTTCAAACCTAGGTTCTTCACATTATTCTAGTGTGTGTGGACATGTACACCCTGTCACTGACCCCATTATCGATTATTAAGTTGGTAGTAAGGCATCCCTCCTGTAGTATTGAAGAGACACAACATGTAAATATTCCAGCAGAATGAGTGATGACTTTACTTTTTCAAAGAAATGGGTTTAAATATGAACCAGAAAGACATGACATCTGAAAAACTTGCAACCAATCAATCAGTACCGTGAAAGTGGTAACCAATCAGAGTGATTTTCATCAGAATCCATAGGGTTTCGATAAGTCATTGCTCTTCCAATATTAAACCTCTCTGGCATCATAGATTTTCATTCCCAGATTAAAAAAAAAAAAAAAAAGTTGCTTCAAGCTAATATCCTAGCTGGTGTTATACATTGAAAGGATGTCAAGAAAAAGTTGAACGACCTTCAATAAAAGGGTACCCTAGGGACGAAAGGCTTGGCAAACCAACTCAGTCACCTAAGGATACTTTGGATGAACTGTACCATTGAGTAGTGTCAAGCATGGTTTTCAAAACCGGATCAGACCGGAAAAACCGGGAACCAGTTAAGTGATCAATTCCGTTCTTTTCTAAAATCTGGATTCTTAAAAAACTATTCATTTTGGTTAACAAATTACTGACCTGGGCGGTTAACCATTCAACCGTTTTTATTTTTTTATTTTTTTTATTTTTTTATCAAAATGGACCAATCGTTTGAATCGAACGATTAAACTGTTTGATCCGGTAAACAAACCCCTAACCTGTTCAATCTCCGGATCGATTTTAAAAACCATGGTGTCAAGATTAAAATTACAAAAGGCTGCAAATGGTATATTTTTGTCAGAATTCAATTTTGAATTTATTCCCAATAAGGGAATCCAAATTCATTACACTTATAATTGGATTGAATATGAATCATATCCACCCCAATCCAATCCTTTACAATCTACTCCAATAATTTTTTAATGAGTTTGTATGTTGTTATATGCTGATTCATTGGGATGTTCCAAATGCGCGGCTGTAATATCTTATGATAGTGAGGATAGCATTTTTGGGGGTAATAAATCCAAACTCCATTTAAACATAAAAATTTATATCTACATAATATTAACTAATATGTATATATTGATTCATCAAGTATAGAGTTGATAAAAAAATGCAGCGGTCCATCGCACAGTTCACATATTACCTCGCATTGAAAAGTTCAACATGTGATTTTGTTTTCCAGAAACAAAACCAACCATGTTGTGGATCACCCCCTTGGCCCCTTAGCCAGATATGAGCGGTCCAATTAAACTTTGTATTTGTATGAAAAAATTCAACTTGGTCCTTGCTTTTTTATTAATAGAGTCAAGACTGAATACAAATTTTAGAATTGTTCGGGTTGTTAGCAAATAAAATAGTAGTTGAAATTGCTATTGTTTTAAAAAAATGACCTAACCGTTCTGCCATCGGGTTTTGGATTGACGATCCGATCATTAGATTTAAATGGATGGCCTATTCTGACAAAAAATTAAAAATAAAAAACGGTTAAAAATCGTTAAATGGGTCAACGATTTGACCGTCCAAATCAACAAATTATTAACTTTTTCAAAAATTTTTGACCAAGAATCGAGTTTGGGGTCAAACAGAATTGGTCGCCTGAACGATTCCTGGGCCAAACAATCCGACCATTCAAATCAACGGCGATTTAAAGTCCCTCATTCACTGAGCAGGGTCCACCCCTGGAATATACCAATTCTCGAAGCACCGTAATGGGTCCAATCCATTAAAATACCATATGTTAAGAGTTAGATACATGTATACATGTGGTCCAATGCTTGTCAATTCCATTCAATTCAAGCCAATTCAATATGTGGACAATAATTATAATTATCCTATATAATAATAAGTTTAGGGTCCATTTGATTCATAGGAATAGGAGTTTAGAATTAGAATCAGAAAGGTCTAGCCATTTGGTTGGGTAAAATGGAATTTCCATTTTTCATTTAGAATGACATTTTCCTATTTGAGGGAATGGTCATTCTGATCTCCTTCATTGAGAATGAGAATTTCATTATACTCAAGTGGCATTACTCTTTACCTGTTGTTAATCCTTCTTAGGAGTTATGTATATATATATATATATATATATATTTTATGGTATTCAGTTTTAATTCTGATTTGAACCAAACAGGCAGAGGAATAAGTGATTATTTTGATTCCAGGGGATTTCTATTCTGGTCTCAAAGCTGAACCGTTCTTCCCTCCAGGTGGCTGGTTCATCGGTTCGATTTTCTGGATCAATGGATAAAATTTTTTTACATAAGATCACTAAAAAAGTAAAAAATAAAGAAAACAATAACCCAACCTGATGAATAGGTCCAATAGGTCAACAGATCAACCATATGGGTTGATAACCAAGTGAATGATTTTATTTAAATGTTGTGTTATAGCTTGTTCAAAACCCACCAGGTCACCAGCAGACCGGTTGGGTCAACAACGGGTTGGAAATGATGTACCCAAATCCTTTTTCATTGTGTTGGATTAGTTCAGCAATAGCTAACAGGACACCCACCCATTTCACAATCATCAAAAATGACATCAAGATTCCTTGGTCAGGCTTTCAAATTTACCACCTACCTGTCAAACAAATAACAATGCATTCTTCTTTTGCAAAAAAAAAAAAAAAAAAAATGCATTTTTGTATACCCAACTCCAGTGGAAATTTCAATACCCTGTAATCAATTAGGCCCACTAATCATCAAAATGTTTGTCAACGTCAACTGATTTCTGTGGGGTGTGATAGAGAGACACATGGTGATTTTGATTTTAATGGTGTAAAAAAAAAAACAGAAAAATCACTAATGGGTTTGCGATGATTTTGAACGATTCCGATCTTAGAAATCACTAAAACCAAAATCATTCATCTTGAGAAAACCATCTTAATTGCAATCTCAGTCTCTTCAATTGATTCACAAATTTTAATTCCTAAAATTAAGTCAAGGATTAACTATTTGGAGGGTATTTGATGATGATGCGTTTTACTATTGATATATTATGATGATCAACCAGAAACACAATTGCTCCGGTTTAAGGTGTTTTGATTTTATTTTTAATTTATGTTTCATAAAAGATGGGACGTTTCAAAACGAAAAGGATTTTTCTTTTTCACTTTGAATGGTTTACGCCTATCCTGATCAAAGTGCTTAATTTTGTTATATAAATATGTCTTAGAATTAGAAGTGTTCTGCTTTTTCACTTTTTGAATCGATGCTATTAGGGGTGAAAACTGGGTTGGGTTAGGTCGGATTGACATCAATCGTGATTCAACGTCCAACAACGACCCATGAACTTTTACTTTGTAACAGATACCTCCTCTTATAGAGTTTCATCAGTTAAAAAAATATTTTCATTTATTTGTTTAGTTAAATTTCTAAATATAATATTGAAGTCCTCAATTGCTCTAATAGATCTTTGAAGATGTCTGGCCGGATTCAATATTTAGATGAAAATAGTAGATGTTTCTTTCTAATAGATATAAATTTAAGGTTTCATTTAGTTTTACTTGATTTTATGTTTTAAGATGAAGAGAAACATTCATGTCAGTGAAATGAAGTAAGAATTTAAAGAAACTTTTTTTTATGTTAATGAAATGATTCTTGCTATTTTTAGTTGGTCTCATTTGAAGAAAAGGAAGGTATTTTTAGGTCCATTAGGGTTTAAGAGAAAAGGGTGAAACAATTAAAGAAAGTTCAGATAGGTGTTTTGATAATTTAGCACATTTGACTTAACGGCCCGAAGGTCCTGTTTCTTGGGTAAGCGTATTTGCCCATGTTTTTTTGATTTCCACATTCTTAGGTAACGGGATGAAACTTTTATCCATAAAAAGCTAATATAAAAATGGGCAAGATTGTCTCATTATATTTTATAAAATTTCCCCTCAGGTGAATAACTTTCCTACTTGAGAGATAGATAAATTTTACCTGGAGCTTATTTTACTATAGGGCCCATTTACAAATGCAAAAAGAACATTATAAAGTTAGTCAATAAGAAAAAAAAAATACCCATTAACCAACTTTCCCAAACTTATTTGCCCGTAACGACAGGGCCTTTATTTTATATCCCACTAAAATTGTATTTGGCATTTCTTATTATAAGGAATTATCTCCTTTTTTTTATATTTAAAAATTAAGTGTTCATGGAACATTTTAACTGAAAAAAAGGACATAAGAAGAATGCCAAATGCAACATAAAAAATCCATCGAAACCTTATCCCAACCATATTGGCTAGATGAATCATGTTTCATCATTCTATTCTATATAAATTATATCATTATATGATCACTTTCTTGCGAATTACCAAAAGCCCCTAACCCTATACTGAAGGATTAACCTGGGTTAAATAAGTTGCTACAGCATTCTCTCAACTGGCAAATGTGGAGTTACACCATATTTAGAGATTTCAGTGGGTCATGTTAGGTCTGATCAACCTTACTGGGGTTCTGGGTTAGGTTTGGGTTGTAATTGACAAACCCACCCCGTTGATATACATTGAAAGTGACTGACTCTAAATGGGTTCGGATTAAAGCAAACCCGTGACCCATTAACATTCCTATTAATAAGTATTTTTGAAAAAAAGAAAAGCAAAGAAAGTTTTTTTTTTTTTTTGTCATAAGATATAGTGGCAGTATTCAAGTACATGTTGGCCTGGTGGCGATGCCGGTGGCTGTGAGTACTAAATGAGACCGAGTTCATTGAAAACCAAACAATATAAGTAATATGACCCACCTGACCATCGTCATGGTTTTGTTTGTCCTGCAACCTTTTCGTGTCAGTGAGCTGTGAACTTGTTGACATGTAACCTGGTTAATTAGAGCAACCTTTTCCTTCTCTGACACAAATAATTTTCTTCACTCTTATTCTTCTGTTTTGTGTATTTAAATATCAAATAATGAATAGAATCAATCGTGGGATTCCCCCCACATTTCCAAAAGATAATTCTCACACCCAAAACTACTTCTGTTACTCAATTCTTCTGAGCTAGCTCTTTTTGTCTGGGACAGCCCTCTGGGACTGCCCCCACCACGTTTAAGGTTGTGCCTGAACTCCATGACAATTTGCTCAAACACTTCTGCCTCAAACAAGTTCATCTTGATTTTGGGGTTCATGTGATCTCTCACATATGCAAAAGCCAACTGATCTCTGGGGTTAAATGCCTCTAGTTCATTTAACATAAGGCAGGAGAAGAGATTGCTGCCAACCCCATGTCTCCTCAGTATCAAAGCACTGTCTGGTACATCTGCACCACAAAAATGATCAATTCATCAAATGCTTTAGTAACCCATCAGGCCAAAAGTTGAATGATCAAGACAAATTTATCAACAGTAATCATGAACCATTGAAAGAAAAGAGCTTTGAACCTGTGGTGTATGGGAGCTTATCAGTTGTCCATGGCTGTAAACCATTTTCACAGTATGTCTCCATTTGCACCTTCAAGTTATCAACATTCCATTTCTTCCACCTTGCAGTTGCCATTGCCTCTTCCATGGTGTGCATGTAGTAAGGATGCTTTGAAATAGCCATGTCTACATTCTCCAAAATAACGAGAGAATGAATCAACAACAATGGGTCCACCATTAGCTGCAGCTTTGCATCCACCCAAATGCTGAATTTTGAATTTGGGAATAGCCTGTGAACCAAGTACTTGGGTATCACTCCATTCATGGCTGCATTTTGGTATGGGAGATCACCTGCAACTCTTACAATTCTCCATGCACCAATCTTATATTCCTGGGATTTATCTAAGAGAAGGTTGTGAGTGTTGAGGCCTTTGATGGTCATGTCGTCTACAAACATGAAGAAACAAACAGTTTTCAGAGTTTTGGATCCAAGCCCTCTTGGCTGACGGATTTTGTCATGGTCGCCAAAGATTGCTGAGACTACTACCACTCCATTGCAGTTCTCCATGGCTGCTCTATCTAAATTCAGTAGCAATAATAGAAGAAAACACACTTAGATGAACGATTGGATGAATTTCAGTTTTGAACTTGATAAATGGTTCTTTTAGTTCATAATTATAAAAAAAAAAAAAAAAAAAAAAAAAAAAAAACTTATTAATCACTATCCTAACTGGAAAAGAAAGAGCGTTTGAAATAAATTCAATTAATTAACTAATTAAAAGTTGGACTGAGCATGAATTCTAGAAATTTATGTCAGTTGCCCTGGTTAAGTTGTCAGGCTGTGCTTGTTTGTATCCATCTCTCTCTCCTCAAAAGTTTATCATGTCTGTGATGTCAAGACACATACCAAGAAAAGTTTTAAGCATCGAATGATTACTTACCCAGAAAACAATATGGATTGATGCATTTGTGTTGATTAATTAGGTTGAAAGAAAGTAAGAAACCCTTTTAGTTTACGCCACAATTATTCTAGCATTTCTGAATCCATTACCTCTGTTTGCTTTATTTCTTTCATTTAACTGTATTAGCTTTTAAGCCCAGACCCAAGATAGACTGAACAGAAGGGAAAAAATGAAACGGAAAAACTAACAAACCTCAGCATTCCAATAAAAACTAACCAGAATCACTAACTGGGAATTCCTTCATGAATCCGCAGGGGACCTGCATTTGATCAAATTTGTGGTTGAAGTAAGACAACCTCTTCTGGGTACTAAAATTTCCTGCAAAACTACCTGCCTTTGTTGACAGGTATCTCAAAACCGACGAAGAATACGAAGAATTCCTGCAGAAGTCTTGGATCTCCCTCAAGACCGCCCAGTAATCTGAAGGCAATTAACAAAACCCATTAAAGATAAACCAAAAACAGAATCAAAATAAAGATAAAATCATGACTTCATGAGAAACTAATGAAACCTGAGAAATATACACGGGAGCTGCAAGAGGATCGAACAGTTGGGATTGCATACTTGTGTTCTCGGTAGGTGGTGGGGTACGAGAACAGAGGGCTCTGGATCGGATCGAAGGGTGAAGCTCTGAAGATGCATTTCGTGGAGGAGAGAGAGGAATACAGAGCAAGAAACAGAGTCGTGAAGAGATAGGAAAGAGAGAGACAGAGGAGTTTGGATTGGAAGAGCAGAGGGGGTGACCATCTCGGCTTCCCCATGAAGCGTTCGTCCTTGGCCAGTTGGCCTTCTCTCTCTATTAATTTTATTTATTTAATATATTTTCCTTTTTTCTTCGTTTTCTTTTATTGAAAAAAAAAAAGAAAAATTTGTAAGGCGGTCAGATGATTCATGCTGCTGTGTGAATATGTTCTGTTAAGGGGGAAAGCTATAGTGAAAGTGGATAGAAACAAATAATTAATCCTAGCCGTAGATAATTCCTGATTTAGTAAAATAAGAAATGGACGGCCAGGATTGTTATCATGAATACGCGAGGGGCCACAAAGTCCCACCACAAAAGAGTATTAGGGTGGGCATAGGAAGAGTTGTTTGAATGGGCCCCAATAAAGAGAGGGAGTTTGCAAGAAAACAACAACCTATGCACATGATTCTCGTATGCAACCTCACATGCTTCACAAAATTTGGTTCCCTTGTGAACTTGACTGAACCGGATTAACCAATAGGTTCTAAAGTGAACCGGTTTCCACTGGCCCCATATGTATGTAGACCTAGATGCTTCAAGTGGGTAGGTGGTCTCTACTTTCTTCTTTTGTCCTCTTCCTTAGATTGGGAATGGTTGATGACTTGATGTTGATAAATAAACAAATAAAGAAATTTAAATTTTGGTTTAAATTTTGGTTTAAAATTTTGGAAACGATGCAAATATGTGTGAATACAAATATATAGTGTAAAATGGTTCATATAAATTATAAAGTTGGATTAGTTTTGCATTGATAAATTTACCTTTTTATCAAACAGATCTTTAGTTATAATGGATGCAAGCATGAATTCTAATAAAGCATATGCTTTTTTTTATCAAAAGCCCACTTGAATGCAAATTTATTTCTTTTTTATTGATGTACTTTTACATCTTATTATTAATGTAAATATGCATTGGTTTGTCATTTACCCTGAACGGGAATTTACACTCTATTTGCATCATTTCTAACACACTCTATTTGCATCGGTCTAGATCTGTTCAAATTTTAACAAATTCTCAACCTAAGTTCAGCCAAATTGGCAAGATGTTAATTTTAGACTCGATATTGAATCCTACCTGCACTAGGGGTGAGGAGGTTATGGGTTTGGAGGATAGAATACCCCTGCTGTGTAGAACCAGTCCGCCCAAGTTGGACCCCTATCCATTAAACTCATGATTCCAGAGAAATATAGTTGAAGATAGATTTTACATTCAATAAAGCCATAGATTTGAATCAAGAAAGCTATTAAAGCTCTGTACTTTTTCTTTTCATTTTGTGTTCTTACTCAATACAGCTCATAACTTTATTTATTTGCATTTCCTTTCATAGGAAATCAGTGTTATAAAGAAAATTAAGGGCCATAGAATCACTTTTGAATAAAAGATTGATTCTATGATTAATGATAGTTATTATGTCAAAAATAAATAAATAGTATATAAATACATTCGAAGTGCAACCGTCCCAAGAAAAGGCCCGTGACTGTCACATAGCCAATGGACCTCACATGCACCCTGATCTCCTTACAGGTGCAACTTAGATAGGTTTAATTTGGGTTTTTTTGTCAAAATTTGAATGGATCTGGCTCGAAGGCCCAAAGCCCAAAGAAGTATAAAATATTAACTCAGGCCACTAAAGGGTGCAATGTAATCCAATCCTAGTCTAGTCTCCAACAGATAGTTAGCATTTGGAAACACATTTGAAAATATTACCATTTCTGGGTAGTTTTTGCCTCAAATATGCCTCACTGGGTTTACTGGGGCTAGTTTGGGCAGCACAGAACTGGGGAAAGACTTATCTGGACAACATTGATTCCACCTTATTTAAGCCTTGTGGAGAGAAGGGAGACATGATGCAACATTTTTCTATCAACAGTTCTTGGATGGATGACCCTTTAAAAATCTAAATTCTTTTCTTGAGAAAAGAAAACCAAAACACTTAACAATACAGAGGTTCTACTAATTTATGCACTGAATTTGTTTTGCCAAATCATCATAGAGCCATGAGCCATTTCATCTAAGATCATGACTAATAAAATAACTCTTTTTGTAAGATATTATATTGTCTAGTAATAAATAAAATAATGGTGAAACTCTTGACTTGGTGTTTTGAAGGTTTCTAGAATGCTTTGGATCGACGCCCAATCTGGCCACATGTCATCAAATGTGGAGCAATAGTTGCACTCAAGAGATGGTCCCAAAACCCATTAAAAGAAAATCCACTAAAGCTTTGAGAACAGCAAGTCAAATATTAACCATCATTCTCTCAACATGCTGCTTTTTGGCTTTTTGGGGTAGGCAATTTGTTGGGATTTGGGTTCCTAGACAGGCTATTTATAGGCTCTCCACAATTAATAAAATATTTGCACAAATAGTGTGAAATTGTTGAGAAAAAGAGGCTAAAATATTTCCTTCAACTTTTGTTTCACTTATTTTCTTTCAAACCAAATCAAATATATCCTTACGGCCCACTTGGTTCGTGGTTGAAATCAGAATTGAAATCGGAGTGGTCTATTCTCATAGTCTGTTTGATTCAGACAGGAATGAGAATGAGAATTAAAATTAACAGGAATGAAATTTCATTCCTAAGGGAGGGAAGGGTAAGAAATGACTATTCTCTCAAATGGAAGAAAGCCATTTCAAAAGGAATAGAAATAAGATTTCCATTCCACCCAACCAAATAGTTGGAATTAAAATAGTCCATTCCAATTCCGATTCCAGACCCCTATCCCTACAACCAAACAAGGCCCTTAGTTTTTCCTCAACTATTTAATAATTACCAAAACTTTTCCGAGTCTTTCAATATTTAAACCTTCCCTATTAACTAACATGTCATTACATTGGGTAGTTTTGTTGATGGAATGACTGAAAAAGCTACATTATCTGTTCATCAATCGAACAAGGGCAAATGGGCATTATAGATCCTAGGTGAGAAAATAACTATTATGAAAGAAATGAGGGTATTTTAGTCCTTTAAATTTGCATCAACTAAGTTTGTGTTTGGTTTGAAGGGAAAGGTAGGAAAAGGAAACTTCTATTTTTCCCTACCTTTTCCTTCAAACCAAACACTAAAAAAAATGAAGTGAGGTGGATTTATGAAGAACAACATTTAAAAATGTGCAAACCTGGCCGCATAACCAATCATAAGTGGACACACCAGTGTCATGTGGGGCCTATGTGTATCGATACTGGCGTGTTCACTTGTTATTGGTCAAGTAGGCTGGCACATTTTTGTTTGCACCATCTTTTAATAGACATACAAAAACCAAATGATGCAAAAGAATTGTAGTGCAATTTTATATGGAGTTTTGCACTAATACAAATGCATGGGAGTGCAAATGTAAAAAATACAAATTCTTGTTTAACTTTGTTTTAGATTTTATTTTTGATGATGCGCAATCCGGTCGGTCCTACCTGACGATCACCTTGCCTTTGATAGAGCTGAAGATACTTGAAACAAGGAAGAAATTGGAGATTTCCGGGGAGGAACCCGGTAGGAACACTCCGAAGCTCAAGTTAATACTCTTGAGGAGGCAAGGGAAACAATGGATTTCAAGACCAGAGAGCACAAAAATCACATACCTCATTCTTTGGGGGAAGGGGGTCTTTTGTAACCACCCTGGTACACTCACTCCCATACCTTTGCCAGATCGGGTGTCATCACCTCTGCCAGATGCCTGTTCGGGTGTCATCACCTCTGCCAGATGCCAGATTGGGTGTCATAACCGCCACTGTCTTCCCTGTCAGGGCCGTCTCTACAACGTCTGAGATGGCGGTGGCAGGTGGCTGTTGGAGTGCGGCTGTCATGTGTCAGACCCCTAATCAGTCAAGTGCGCCGCCTCCACGTACGGACTTCTTTGGCGTCAGGTACGATTCGTTTGGTCATGCGTCTTGGAGCCGAAGCGCCGGAGCGGTGTGCGAGGTGCTCTTGAGTTTAGATAGAAGTGTGGGATCCTTTCGGGGAGCTCGGGGCTTCTCTTTGGGGACCTCGGGTCCTTCCTAGGATACGTTTGTCAGTTCGGGTTACATCCTTAGTGAGCTCTTGACGTTGGGCTTCCCCTCGGTGAGCTCGGGTACAGTTGTTGTTGTGCTGAGCTGGTGCACCTGCCAAGTCACACTCTGTTGCTTCCACGTGTCACACGGCCAAGAGGTCAGGCCGAATCTCCCTCCATCAATTGCCCCCCACTCCCCGTGCTCGGGGTCTTGCCCCGACGTGGGGAGTTCACGGGATGATGGGGAGATTTGCCTAGTGGCGCGCTTCGTCTGGTTTGGAGGGCCTCCAGTCTGACCTGCTCATTCTTTTGGTTCGATCGGGACCAGCCTGGCCCGACCAAGGGTCAACCTGGGTCACGTACAGCTCACGCGCGGACATCAAACGTTATTAGTTTACAGACATCAAAATTTCGTGCTAAACTGATTTCACCTCGGGGGTCATGCAGCCGGTTTTCCTAAGAGTCGTTAGATGGCCTTAATCCTGTCCGGTCTGAGTTCGGGTAGGTTTCCTGCTCAGTTTTTTTTCTCTCCCTTTCTCTCTCTCTTTTTTTTTTACTAATGTCAAGCTCCTTTTGTAGGTGTCATGGAGGCAGAGAAGACTCGAAGTGCCAACTTGCTCGAAGGGATGAAGAGGCGAAAGCGGGCTACCAAGCGTGCTCGCGTCAGTTCTCCTCGGGCCGTGGAGCCCCAAGCCCCAAGCCGCCCCCTAGTCATCAGCCTGGAGTCTCCCAGGGAGCCCAAGGTGGCTGGGCTTGCTCCAGAGGTGGCTGGGCCTGCTCCGGAGGCCTAGGCGGAGCCCGAGGTAGCAGAGGCTCGAGATATTGATACCACAGCCTCCCACAACCGGACAGTGATCTCCAGCTCCGGGAGCCAGGACGGGGCTGGTAGCATACTAACACCGAGCT